ACCTGTTAATATTATTCTTCCTTCTAAATCTCGTAAATATAAAGTTACAAATAATGACAAGGTCTCCTTTAGTCTTGTCCTTTTATCGTGGCATGAGTGAGGTCTCAAATGAATTATTTTGACTTTTTAATTCAGGTCAGTTCTATATAAAGCAAAATGACTGCACCACAGACAACAATACAAAAGCATGGTATAAGATAGGAGAGAGAGAGAGAGAGAGAGAGAGAGAGAGAGAGACACACACACACACACAAACTAGATCATTTCGCGACTAACACACGTTTCAATTTTATTTCAATAATTTGCTTGCACGTCGTGGTCTTTACATGTAGGTGTGGGAGGAAACCGAAGGACACAGAGAAAACCAACGAGGTTGGACAGGCGACCCCTACTCCTTGTCACGTACAACCGGTGAATCGAAACCATGCCAGTTAACTCAATGACAGACCTTATCAATACAGTGTGCACATGCTAACCATTCGGCCATCCAACCCAATCTTTATTATGAAGCGGGAATAGAAAGGTATTTAGGCTGAATATAGTAATAGAATCTGGTGGTATATATCATTATAATTGTATATACATAAGCCTGGGGGGAATATTAGTTTTTATACCACATGTCAACAATAAAACAACAAAATGACAGACGGTTTAACTTCTGACCTTGAGCAAACACAGGTCAAACAATAAAAGAAATATAAATAAATTATTTATGTAAATGTTATTTTTAATGGCTATGGTTTCATCTACTGCAATTCCTTGTCCTTTCTAGTGGTGGGTTACCCCTGACAGAGCTATGTAATTGCCAGACATTTGTAGTGGTGGAGTATCCCTGTACCACCTAAAACAGCCTTGGAGTTGTTCAGTACCACTACAGGAATCATGAATGTCCACTGTCAGACAGTTTGTGCGGTGGGTTACCCCTAATAGACACGCATTTTGGGCATGTCTGTTAGGGGTAACCCACCACACAAACTGTCTGGCAGTTGGAATTCGCAATAAGAGTAGGCCATATCCCTTCTGTCCAGGCAAAATTTCCCTTATAACACACTGTATAGCATATGCCCATCTTCATTAGCCCGGTTGGAGCAGAACAGTAGTACAATAAAACCCCATTTAATTTCATTCATGCCCGATATAGATCTACCTATACATGTAACAGGTATTTAAGTTATTTCTAGTATTGCTATATAAGGGTATCACCTGTATTTATATCTCTACCAGTTAATTACAATGTGTCAATCAATCAATCAATCATATTATACAGGTGTGTCTAGAACTAACACTGATATACACCCAAAGATAAACCTTTATTATTAATATATACAGGTATTTTACTCTCAGGTAAGATAAAAACAGAGGAAGGGACAAAAAGGTTTAACATTGACTGAACACAAACTAGGTCATTTTGGGACTAACTTATGGTTCATATACAGTTGTTTTACTCTCATTGGGGGGAGTTAATAATGTACAGGTACATGTATCTTACTCTCAGCTAAGGGGGGGTTGGATGGCCGAATGGTTAGTACAATGTACGCGCGCGCTGTATCATACGGTCTGTCATTGAGTCAACTGGCGGGGTTATGATTCCCCGGTTGTACATGACAAGGAGTAGGGTCGCTGTCCAACCTCGTGGGTTTTCTCCGGGTTCTCCGGTTTCCTCCCACTGCTAAAGACTCCTACGCGCAAGCGAATGATTGAAATAAAGTTGAACCATGTGTTAGTCCCGAAATGACCTGGTTTGTGTCGAGTGGACGTTAAACCCCATTTCTCTCTCTCTCAGCTAAGATAATGACAAACTAATGGGACTAACATATGGTTCAATTTTCTTTCAATAAAATTCATTTGCGTTTAGAGGTCTGTAGCAGTGGGAAGAAACGGGAGAAAACGCACGAGGTTGGACAGGCGACCCTTCTACTTGTCACGCATATGAGGGGAATCGACGCAAAGGCCACTTGACTAAATGGCAGACCCTATGATACAATGCGCATGCGTTAACCATTCAGCCACCCAGGCCCCCTGTAATTTAAAACTTATCCACATCTGTACACAGTACTAAGAACAAACTTTTCTGCACCTATTACAGTCCATGGCCCCAAAAAAGTAAATTATATACAAAAATTGAACATTGTTTATTTTTTCTAAATTTGTAAGCTCTTTTTCTTTTATCTGAAGTAGTTTTAATATATTTTATATTTTTATTTGAAGTATTTTTAATATATACTCTTCAAAAAAAGTAGGGGATATTCAGAAACAATACAAAACTGCGGAAATGCACTGCTGTTTTTATAAGAGGTAACCAGTGTATGTTAATAACAGGTCAATTGCCTACACATGAACATAAACAGCTCATATGGGCGGCTTATCTGACGGCCACATTTCACTTGCAAAGAGATACACTATGTCAAAAGTGAAAATAGACGTTTTGATTTTTGTCTTAATAATGAGTAATCGCTCCACCAATCCTCAGACATTCAGCAATTCGTCGTGGCATGCTCCTAATCAACAGTCCAATCACGATTTGGGGAAATGCTCTATAAGGGAAACTTACCCCGGGAAAGGTAAGGACTCATGGACAATATGGTGACGCTGGAGGTAGTCATTCACAACACGAGCGCTGTGGGCACAGGCATTATCATCTTGAAAGATGAAACGTCGAGCAAAGGGCAGAACTATCAGTGCCAGGATGTGGTCACGGTAGTACACACCAGTGACCCTTCCTTAAACAAAATGCAAGTCCTTTATGCCAGTCATGGTGATTCCTCCCCACACCATAACAGACCCATGCCCGAATCTGTCATGCTGTGTGACATTAACGTTAGCATGACGTTCATTTACACGACTCCAAACGCAAGCACTCATCTGAAAACATTACACGCGCCAATCGACAATTACCCCAATTTCTACGCTGCCTACACCATTGACACCTGTTTGCCATGTGCTGGCAAGGTAATGGAGGCACAACACGCGGACGTCGCGCATGCAAATGGGCTGCATGTAGCCGATTTCTAATCGTTTGGGGTGTAACTCGAATTCCTGCAATTTAGTACAATTTTACAGAAAGCTGATTGGCCGTTTTTCCTTGATTTCGCAGGATGTGTGTACGAATGTATCGATCCTGGGCTTGTGTAGTGGCTCTAGGATGACATGAACGAGGTCTATCATCAACATTGTGTGTTTGTTGGTACCAGTTTCACTGTCTACTAATCACAGACTCTGACACATTAAGTATGTTGGCTACTGCTCGCTGTGCAGAACCCATTTGAAGCATGCCAACAGCACTTAGACGTTAATCATGTTGAAGATGTCTCATTGCAAATAAAACGTAACACACTAAAGCAAAGATATGCTAAACAGTAAATCTTATGCAAGAACCGATAGGAAAGCAAACATGGATAGATAAACCAGCACGCGGCAGTTTTCATCAACCCTTCCTTGAAGTGTCAAGTTTGACAATGAACCCCTCCCACGTGTATGGAGCTATTGTGTGTCTCGCGTGCAGCTCAGTTGTTTCTGTTGGGGCGATAAGTTCTTCATCTGTGAACATACTCTCAAAGCATGTCCATGACTATTTATCATATCACAACCTGCAAAGATATTTGCATTTCAATATCCCCTACTTTTTTTTGAAGATTATATTTTATATTTTTATTTGAAGTATTTATTTTATAGTTTTTCTGAACTGAACTGGGGTTTATCTCCACTCGACACAAACTAGGTCATTTTGGGACTATCACATGGTTCAATTTTATTTCAATAATACGCTTGTACGTAGGCATCTTTAGCTGTGGGAGGAAACCAGAGGACCTAGAGAAAACCCACGAGGTTGGACAGGCGTAATAAAATAGGGGTTAATCCTACTAATTGTTTAATATCCATATTAAAGGGATATTAGGTGAGATTTAGTTAAAGAGCTGACAGTTCTCGCAATAATAGATAAAAGATAGGTTGCCAGGCAACGCCCGCAGCAACTAATTTTAATTTATAAATTAAAACAGTTTAAAGGAGCATCACATGTAGGTAAGACTAGTTAAAGAGGTGACAGTTCTCGATATAATACTTAAAAATAGATAATGAAAATATACTGAAAATGTTAGTCAAATTGCTTCACTCTGAACCAAGATATCTTAGCGATTCAATTTTAGACTTGCCTCGATCATCATTACTAATGTTAGTTCAATATTGGATATCAGAAGCCTATCTTTTCACGGTAAGATAACAACATCAATGTTGATTTAAATTGACCAATAAGTCGTGTTTGTAATGTTGAAGACTGTGGATGATATTGAGTTAAAGACTTAATTGCCTCCTTTAACTCCATGCATACAGGGTGTGCACATCTCAGAACATTTTTTTTACGCTTGAAGAACATTGTTTGATTGACTTTCCAAGAAACATCCAATGACTATGTTCAGTTTTATATCTTAAAATATATAGCGAAACCACAAATGTTAATTTTCCAGGAGTTTTAAGGAGTAATCTAGTACTGGAAATGACATTTTCATTTTTCCAGGATTTTCCAGGAGTTTCAAGGAGTGTGCGAACGTGGATACAAAGACTTGATATGGTTGGGTTTTTTTATAAATATTATAACATATATAGTTCGTTAAAGTGAGAATTTCATATTTTCTAAGAAAGTAAAAAACATAATTATTTCTACGTCTTTTGCTCAATAGGTTGCCAACTCACTATTATACGATCATAGGTAGGCCTATCATTCTCACACCTAAAAATCATTCACTCCGGAAATAATAACACAATTACCTCCCTTGTTTTTCTATACCCCCCATGGAATAGCTATCTTCAAACGTTTGAATTTGAAGTTCTCAACCGTCAATAGTGAATTATAGGATTAATAGGATTATTCTTTAACAAGGTAGAACTAGAACTGTTTATACATGTAGATACCATCTATTTTAAGGCTTTATTTTAATACATTTTAAAAATATAACTTAAAAATATGAAATTATCGCTTTAACAATAAAAAAAAGACAACTCACCTGTAAAGATTTTCCGCTCCATTTCTCATCCGCAGTTCTTTATCAATCTGATCATTAAGTTTTGATCTTCGCGTTTGTAATTTACCTCTAGCCGTCTGTATGAGCGGATCCGATCCCTGTAAAAGATAAAATACACCAAATAAATAATTCAAACCTAGACAGACAGACATTGTAAATATTTTTACTATACTATGTAATACTTTTATTCATTATGTATTTGCTACTGGCAATGATTCAATAAATCAATTCATCGCAATACTGTATGTACTCAATAGTATACACATAAAAACCACATTAAATTTTGAACAATGTAAATTCATGAATAATTGACAATATTTTCAATATACTCCTTCATTTATTATATAAGTAGTATTGGTCATGATTTTGATAAATCAATTCATGGCAATATGTACTTGAAGTACACATAAAAACCACCTAGAATTTCTAACTTTTAAATTTTTTGAGGTCCCTTGAGATTTTTAAGGCCCTAAGGTAGTTGTATGTAGGTTTAATCCAGTAAATATCGCAGGCTAGCGGTGCCATCAAGGGTTGATTATGATCTTTTAATGTTAATAAATGTCTAATTAATAATTTAGATAACATATCAGGCCTAAAGAAAGACCTGCAATAGGCAGATTTAGCTCTTGCATAATGTATGTGGATTAAGCTGTGAGAAATTTGACAATTTTCAAAAAATGCAAATCATGCGTCGTTACTTTCAATACCTTTTATTAATGGACACCCGGTAAAATCTGGAACTGGCCCATTAAGATTTAACGACTCAATTGACTTCTGTTCCTTGTTTGTGAAAGCTAAATACCGGCATGCGGAGGCTGAAGTAGACCACCGTTCAACTTAGAGTATGCAAGTACACATGTACATGGTAAAGCTAAACGTAAACAAAAAGTTCTTTCTAACAATGTTATCTTTGGCATAGATCTCGACTTCCTACAGCCATCTTTATTTCTTATATGTTATTGCTTATTAGTTCTTAACAAAGCTGGTGAACGGCATTTGCATTTTGTCCGTGAATATTTTTAAAATACAAAAAAACTCCCATACTCGAGCTGATTATTTAAACAGGCATTATGCAAGAGCTAAATCTGTCTCAATCTGATTAAAGTACAGATGTACATGTATATTTCGTTTCGTTTTTTTATACTTTCGATGGCCTACACTACATGAAGATCTGACAAGTTATAGCGATAGGTCACGTCAGGGGTCAAAAGACCGACTTATGACCCTATGATGTCAGACATTTGATTAACCAATCAGCATTGATGTTACTAGTGGATTACCCACAGTTCCGTGCAAAACACGCCTAAAGCTCGCCGTAACGGACCGTTTCATTGGCTTATCCCCGACACCATTCAGAACACAAGTTAAATAACAACTCCTCCAGATCCAAGTGTAGTAAAGACAAGTAAAAAAAAATTTTGAACTATAAAAACGAAACGAAATAGGATCTGTGTTTTAACCAGATTGATGTATATAATATTAAATTTGACTTGCGGACACAGGCCCAATCTCATGTATATATGTGTAGATTGTGATTCAACAGAAATAAATCAAAATTTCATTTCTCTTTGGGAGCCACGGTGGGTCAGTAAGTAAGACGTTGGCTCCCTAACCTGGAGGTCCTGTGTTCGATCCTTGTGTTGACCGAGAAAGTTTATCGGGATTTTCTGGGGACGGTTCCCCCTTGTCAAGACGTAGGGCTTGTCAATGGACAACTTAAAGTCGTTAAGATTGGACGAAATACTAAGGTCACGTGTACACACTGGCGTGATATAAAAGAACCCTTGACAGTTAGAATCCGAAATAAGAATAGGTCATAGTGCCGCTGTCTGGGCAAATTTCGCTCATAGCATACTGTATGGCGTGTGCCCATTTTCATTATCCCAGTTGGAGCAGAAGAGTAGATTCTATTTCATTTTCATTTTCTCATTTTTTCTTTCCGTTAAATTCTTCAGAGTGTGAGTGAAACCTCCTTAAAAAGCAATCACTGGAAAATTGAGAAATTTCTTCCGTAACTTTAAACTTTCCGTCAAGGGAAAGAGACCACAGATATGTGCAACAAAATGTTGTGTTTCTTTGGTGGGATTCGTGAGTATTTAGATAGTGTAAACAAGGATTAGCCATGTAAAAAGTCAGAAAGCCACATTCAACAAAACGTGGATTCACACCTCAACATTCCTAAAATACAGATTAGATTTACATTTCTTTTCTCTCTCAACTCGCTCCCTTTTTAACTTTCTCGTAACTGTTGCTAACTTCTTAAACCCAACAATAACGTCTTTTTGCTTCAGTTCTTTTCCGTAATTTTTGCTAACTTCTTCCAGTTAACAACGCCTTTTTTGGGGCTTAGAATCTTTGTTGTCCATAAACCACACAAAAACACACACAAGATTCAAAAGTCGAATCTCTAAAGTGTAAAAAAATAGAAAGTCAATATTTAAACTGATGCTGTGTATTCTCAAAGATAACTGCATATTTTCTCTCAACTTTGTCATGGCATTTGTTGCTTTTCAGAAAAGACCCATGCATGGACAAAATATAATAGGCATTACAGAGAGAGAGAGAGAGAAATGGGGTTTAACGTCCACTCAACAAAAAGCAGGTCATTTCCCGACCAAGATATGGTTCAGTTTTATTTCAATAATTTGCTTATGTGTAGGTGTCTTTAGCAGTGGGAAGAAAATGGAGGTCCTTGAGAAAACCCACAAGGTTGGACGGGCGACCCTACTCATTGTCACGTACAACCAGTGAATCAAAACCAAACCAGTTGACTCAATGACAGACCTTATGATACAACGCACTCGTGTTAACCATTCCACCATCCAACCCCCGCCTTACAGATAAACACCTGACTTAATGGGCAAAGTTTACAGAATGTAGAAGATGTAATCTATACTAATATTTGTGACTGTCGTTTGTCTGTCTGTTCGGGATTGGCGGCTACACTAGGTCTGCCCCGAGTCTGAAATTTGGGGTATAGGGGTAGCTCGGACCGGGGAGTAACATAGGCCAGGTGGCGTTAGTCTACCACTTCCGGTTTCGGGGTTATGACCCCCGAGCAAAGCCGGGCATTCTTCTAGTTGAACTATAAATACACGACACAATCCAATGTAATACTATTACTGTTTTCTTTCCAACCACCATGTTCTCTACCCAACTGACCTACCCTCCTCCCCAACGAACCCATTCTCTCCCCAACCGAACTGGACTCATCCCTAACCGACCTGGACTCCTCCCCAACCAACCTGTTCCCTCCCCAACTGACCTATTCCCTCCCCAACTGACCCGTTCCCCTCCCTGACCAACCTGTTCTCCTCCCTGACCAGCCAAACCTCTACCCAACCAGCCTGGACTCCTGCCCAACCAGTCTGGACTGGACTGCTGCCCAACAAGGCTAATCATGTAATCTCTCTAATAAAATGAAACCATTACTGTTCTTCAGACTTCCATATCATTATATATTTCTACACCCATATAAACATACTTGAAAACGTTAAGAGAATACTCTTCGAAACACCGCCTAAATAAATCAGTAATTTTTCTCCCATAAGTATGTGTTATACTTTATTACCCATAAACTTACGCGAAAAGTAAAATCTTAAATTTAAATTTTAAAATTATAAATCTAAGATAAAAAAAAAATGATTTTAACAAACAGATTTAGAAGATCTTCAAGTTTTGTTTGCAGATTACAGACACACATATCTAACATACTAAAAACAAAACTTTCTTTTTAAAAAACTTGTACGAGATTTAAATTTAAAGACAATCGTCAATAACCTTAATAAAGCTGTGACTGTCATCTTTCAAAGTTCAAACCAGACAACATACAACAGATGACTTACTTATTGTTTTGTTTGATTGTCAACTTTTACAGTTTGTAAAACAAGTACAGCTTGTCTCAACCTACAAAGATTTGTCGTTAGTGAACTGTTTGGTTCATCCCAACTCAAACATCAAACCGCCCGAGTTAACTAAGAGGTGTTGAATTAATTGTGTATATGTTTTATGGCTTTGTACACATGCATGTTAATCTTACGTATTTGCTGAAGGTCACAGACTAATTAATGTAAACAAACTTCAGGGCAAACTCAGATTAAAGATTAAGGTTACATTCTCTTGGTTATTTGTCCGTCCGTACTCATTAAAGATGCGTTATGTAAGCGCTAAATCCGCCTATTGCAGCTCTTTCTTTTGGCTTCAAATCTGATATAAACTATTTTTTAGACATTTATTAACATGACAAGCCTATAATCAATTCTCTAGAACAGCGATTCTCAACCAGTGTTGGCAGAGAAAGTTCACTGGGAATTTGCAACATGGTTTTCCCCCTGTCAGTGGTGCAGCTGTATAGTCGTTCGGATGTGACGAAAAAACGAGGTCCTGTGTACACATTGGCATACACGTAAAAGATCCCTTGGCAGTCGGAATTTGATATAAGAGTAAGCTGTCCGGACAAAATTTCCCTCATAGCACACTGTATGGCGTATGCCCCTCTTCATCAGCCCAGGTCAGAGCAGAACAGTAGGGCGTTAAACCCCATTTCATTTCATTTTTTCGTCCATCAATGATTTGTCTGTATTTATATTTCCTGAACAAATGACCTGGTATTACATGTAGTTCAACTAAACCCATTATTCCCACAGACATGGGGAAACCAGGCTGGAAAATCTGAAGAAACTTTCAGGGGTATCGATCATTTGGATTGAACACAGACCCTCCTGATTAGTGAGCAATCACCCTACCCACTGAGTCACTGTATATTGCATCTTCAATAGAAGGCCTTTCCCCGTGTTCACAAAGCATTCTCAGACTTAAGTTGAGAATTTACTCAAACTTGTTCGCCTTATTTTAACTAAAATATAGTCCTTTATAATAATTTTGTTGTTTTAATGTATCAGATATATCAATAAGAAACTATGTGCAAAGTTTTGTGTCTCTGGATCAAAGATATTTTTCTCATCAACAGTAATTGAAAGTTGAGCAAATTCTTAAACTTAAGTCTGAGAATGCTTTGAGAACTCGGGGCCTAATCTTGCTTTATAACTCTGTACATGTAGGCCTATATCTTATCAAGCCCTTCATGTACATGTAATAC